TATCCCCTGAACCAGGTCAGATCCCAATACGACCCTTGTAGGTGCGTATCGTATCCGTATCGTATCGGGCATATCATATCGACATTTTGGACCTCTATCAAACTTTCAGCCAAGGTTCAAAGTATCGGAAATGCAAGGTGTATTAGAAAGGTAATTTTAGGAGACGTATCAAGATACGCTTTGGAAACGTATAGATATAGATGAAAAATCAAGATATGCATGGATACACTAGAAAATCCAAAAAATCTTTAAAAAATATGAACAATAATAAAAATGAGTTTTATGTGATTATAAATTTATAACTAATTTATTTAAACATAAAAATCATTCTTTAATGATTTATATGAAGTATTGGGATATAATTAGTAACTATTGAAAAATAATAGAAGAACTAAAATGTATGTGTATACATACTAATATTTATTAGTTAATATTTTTTTGAAGTCATTTATTAGTTAATATTTATTATATATAGATTTAGATGATATTTATTATGTATACAAGTTAATATATTCCTTAATTTTTAATAAATAAATTTAACTTGTATCCGTCTTATTATTATATAAATATTAATAATCAACTTTATAGCATTTGTTGGGAAACATCCACCAAGGCAAGAAAGAATCCTTTAAGTATAAAAAAACATGTTGTTCTAATAAGTAATTGAGGTTGGCATGATGGTTAATTAATTAGTGTTGCAAGCAAATGACTTGGGCTCAAAACTTCTTACCTTTGGCTTGTGATTTTTAACAAGCTATTTGACTTAAATAACATTTAATGGCATATTAAATGTTGTAATTAAAGGTAACTTAAATGAGCATTTAATTAAATTATATTAGCATTTAGTGGCGTCTCAGACTTTAGTCCGTATCGAACCTGTATCGGTTCGATACGGACGAAAAAATACGAAACCATTTAATTAGACATGTTGCGTGTATCGGAACTCTTCCGAAACGATACATATCGGCCCGTATCGGCCGATACGTTACGAAATTTAAAACCTTGCTTTCAGCTGATGAATTCATCATAGAATTATTCTAAATAATCATCAGAAAATAAAATAATAATATTTCATATCATTGGCCCCAAACTGAGAACTGAATTCTAAGTTCATATGTCGACTAGGTCAAATCAGCTAGACTTGTTCATGCCGATTTGACATTTGTTTCAAATTTGATTTGGTTCTATCCAAGAACTAAACCTAGTGCTCTGATACCACTATTGGAAGCGTTAGAAATCAAAATAGACATAGTCGAACCAGGTCTAGTGGCTGGCCGAATTTTTAAACATTTTATAACCTGATCTGGGAATCGATTTCCCGATGATTTTGAAGGCTGAAATTTTGGGATCGATCTTGCACTGAACCTGACCAAATTTGAAACCCAAATTAAAACTAGTTATACTTGATACAAAGACCACAGCGTGTAGCTCCCAAAGTGGTAGTTCACGCCCAGTATCAGACTCAAAATCAGCCTCCAACTGAAGATGGTGCAGTTGTGTGTGCGAAGTCGATTTAGCAACATTGTTTCAACAAAACCGGTTACCAAATTAGTCCCCTATATAGAGCACTCTCCTAATCCTATTAGTGGTTCATGCCCCAAGGTGTTTCATGGCCACTTTTGGCCTGAATATTGTATAGTGTTGGACCCACAAATGTCTCACATAAGTCAATAAGGGTTCAACCCCACCTCTGGAAGAGGTTAGGTCAAATTCACTGCTCAAGGGCAGTGAACCCTTGACCCAATTAGCTTGGGCCCAACATTTACACAAAAATGATACATGGATTTAGCCATCCTATAAAGACACAAGAATAATGGACTTGTGTAAGATAAATCCCATCAGGTAGTCAGCCCTGTAATGGTCTTTTGCACCTAACCTCTCGGCCCATAATCATCAAAACAACCCATAGGAAGGGACCTCTTTCCTGACTACAAAATGCAGTGTCACATTCTCTGCTAGGATGGATCTTAGGATTAAAACCTTTTGTAAACCTTTTTTCATAAAATAGTAATACTACATATAAATATATTTTGCAAATCAGGTTTCAAACACAGTTGAAATCCACTACTGACAAAAAAGGTTTCCATCAGAGAGAGTGTTAAACCTTGATATTCACTTTGTTTGACAAAGGGGCTGGTCCTATCACTATGATCTCCCACTCAGGTAATTTCCTAAATTTCCCCAACAAACCCAAATATTTGAGCCTTGATGGATCTCACTAGTTGGCATATCAAAGATAGTTCAGTCCAAAACCTAGTGCAGTATCATAATCAAGTCTAGGGTTAAGTGCAACTTTCCAGTTTTGCCCATCTATCTTCAAGGTCCAGGGCATAATTAGAAATTGGTTTGGGTTCAGTGTTTTTCCAAACACCCACTAGCTGTGCTTGGGGTCCAACCCTAGCAGCTGAGACAAGCTGCTCCACCAATTCGACAATACACCAGTGTCAACTTTGTCAAGATAAACTCCCCAAGTTTATCCAATGGCTGAGAACATTCTAAACTAACACGAGTCTCATAAGTGTCCAGTTTAAGGAATAATTCATAGAAACACACTGATTTGAACATAAAACAATTATGTACTTCATTCATTTACTGATAAATGTTTATGTATATCAGTCTGATTGGAGCTAATGGCATACACTATCTAACAAGCTTGAGGTCTAAGGCTTAGGGTTGCACTTGGACTGATCCTCAACCCTACCCAACCTGCCCGAGTTGCACTCCTACACCCAGCACATTAGGCTAAGTTTGGCCTGAATCCAAAGTAGGTTGGGTTGGGCCTTGGCTAAGCCCAATCCAGTCTGATGCTCACCTCCTAAATTCACTCGGGATGCTTTTTCATATACCAATAGTGAGGCTACACTGCTTTAGCTCATGCTTTTTTTTTTATAAGAGAATGAAGTTTATTGAAAAGCAAAAAAAAGAAAGGTAACCAGCAGTAACCTGAGGGAGGAAACACAACAAGAACACCCTAAATCCCAGAGATTACAATGAAAAAACCAAAACATCAAACCTGCACTCCCCTATCATCTCAGCAGTAACAAGGAAATAATCCCACAACTACAGAAAGGAACATCACCAAACCCATAACCATTCTCCCCTAGCATCCTAAGTCAGATGAAAAATTAGTCCCTTGGAACACAGAACAACCTTTTTTGAATCCCCAACCCCAAAATGCCAACTCAATCCCAAACACCAGCTTCCCCCTCAGATCGAACCAGAATTTGTTTGCTCCTCTTGTTAGCTCTTCTTGGCTTCTTTACCTTCCTACTACGCCCAATCATGAATTTCACCCAATGGATTCCCCAGTTTTTCTTGTTCATTATGGTGATCATTGTTTTTTCTTTTAATTTGTTTTTGTTTTAAGTTACTGTTAGGTGTATAATTTGAGAATTTCATAATGGATCAGGATTTAGAAGATATTTTGAGTTTGAAGAGCAGTTTTTTTTTTTTTTTGGTATGATAATTGGTGCTTTGAGGAGTAGAGAGCAGTTGCTTTGGTGGTTGGTGATTTCATATTCTGGAAGCTTCAAACTATTTAACATGCATTCTTTGGGTAGTTTTGGCAAGCCTTTGAATGATGATGGCTCCAAACTTATGGTTTAAGGCATCCGTAAGGCTACAATGGCTTTGTCTTGATCAGTAAAGTTCTCTCTTTCATGTATGTATGCAGTATGTATTTATGTGCATATATATGAAAACCCTAGTCTATTTGACAATTCCTTTTAGATCCTAAAAAGTTTTATGTTTTGGGGCCTATGTTCTAGCCCTATAACCTTAACCATTATCTTGAACAACCTTTATTTTGTCCAAAATCACTTCATTATTGACCTACACCTAACCCTAAACATCAGCATATGTACAATTTTTATTACAACAAGAATTTCTGATGCAAGTATTGTTAACCTATATCATTCTGCAATATTTCAGAACTTAAACCTGAAACTCCAGTCCTCATAATCATTTCTTTTTAATCCTAAATCTTTCATGTTTTGTGCCCTAGGCTAGGCATTTAAAAACCTCTTTTGTGAGGTAAACCTGACTTTAATCCCCAGCTTATATACATTTTTTCCCAAAATACCAATTAGTGGCACCACACCTGTTATTCTTTGTCAATATATGTCAATATGCATATTAATGTTCATCTTGAAATTTCTTAATATTGCTTTTATTCCATTGGGTTAGTCTTATAATGATTGAAAGTCAAAATTCATGTTTGAATTGCCTATTTATATTCTTTGCATCCATTTTGAAATTTTAAATGCTAATAAGAGTAATGAAATTTATGGTGACTCATGATATAAATTGTGATAACTTATGCATAGAAAGAGGAGTATATAAACCATGGTGCGAAGGCTTAAGATTGCATGATGTTATGCACAGAGAGTAATGGGTTGTAGATCCTTGGATCCAACCTCGGCCGGAAGTTGTTATTGGTTTGAATGTCATGATAGTTTGATCTATCCAATTCTCTTGATTGGTTAGGGGGAGAAATGAGTTGTGAAGATCATAATCATTTAGAGAATATGGTTTGTAAAATAGTCATAACATGGCACCATGGTTGGGGCCCCAAAAGGTCTTTGCCTTCTTTTCATGAAGCAAATTTCAGCCATTAGCCCCTTTTGTATTGCTGAACTAAAGCCCCTTTTTAATCTGGGCATTTTTTAAATCATAAGAAGTTAAAGATTTCAACAGATATGTAGCTAACATCACTTGGGAAAAGGTCCAAGAAATACTGACATGATAACTGGTGTGTACTGGGGAAGTGAGTGACTCCAGTAAACCATATTTACTCTCTACCATGTAGAGATTTCCTGTATTGCTGCATGATGTCACTCGTTAGCTAGTTGTTATTGGTTAAGCTTTGTCTGCCCTTACAATAACAGTCCAGATCTTACCATGAAGTTGGTTTTAGACAAAGGCTTCCAAATATATACTTATCTGAGCCTTTTTCTGTTTGATCATTTATATGGGAATGTTCTGAAATTGTTTCTCTTCAGGAACTTTATACAGCTAGTTTTCTCTGGAGAGGATGATGGAAGGCTTTTGAAGTATAATCCACTCACAAAAGAAACCAGTGTCCTCATGCGGAATCTCCAATTCCCAAATGGGGTGTCCATGAGCAAGGATAAGTCTTTCTTTGTCTTTTCTGATGGATCCTGTGGCAGGTTAGTGTCCTCTTCATTAAAAAAAAAAAACTTGTAGTAACTAGGGTGATTTTCAAGTTTCTCTTTATCCCAAGAGAATAAGATTGAAGCAGATTGCTTAGGAGCATCTTAATGCATTGGTTTTTCTATTGATGGTATGGAGCAAGGTTCAAAAAGTCACAGCATATCAGGGCATATTGGGCATATTGCATCTATCGGTAGCACCCTGATACACTAAATATAGGGTATTTTGTGGTTTGATGATTTTCACGGGGTAGCCAGGCCTAAGATCAACCATTGGAAATTTTGAAAAAGAAACTAAAAAAAGAAATAGGGATGTGCCTTTCAAACACCCATACACAAGTTCGTGCATATTGGGTGTATTGATACTTTTAACCTTGCTTAAGGGACATCAAATGATCCTTCCATCTCCCCACATGTAGGCTGCTTGTATGGCAGGACCTATCCAGTAAGAGTCTTATATTACTTTCCCTCTATCTTATTGGTGTTGCTTTTGCTATTAATGATCTACCAGGCAAATTTAGGCACTTGTAAATAGGGCTATAGGGCTGGAAGTTCACCATTTACATGTAAAACTTTTTCTGCTGACTCAGATTAAGGAGATATTGGTTGAAAGGTGAGAAAGCAGGGACCTCAGACATATTTGCTATCTTACCTGGATTCCCTGACAATGTGAGAACCAATGAGAGAGGTGAATTTTGGGTGGCAATTCACTGTCGTCGCTCTATGTATGCTTATATAAGCAGCCTCTACCCCAAGCTGAGGAAATTTTTGCTCAAGCTCCCTGTTCTAGCCAAGTTTCAGTATCTACTGCAGATTGGAGGCCGGCAACATGCAGTTGTTGTCAAATACAGCCCTGAGGGGAAAATTCTACAGATATTAGAGGACAGCCAAGGGAAGGTGGTTAGAGCTGTTAGTGAAGTGGAGGAGAAGGATGGGAAGCTGTGGATTGGGAGTGTCCTGATGCCCTTTATGGCAGTTTATCAGTTAGAATGAGGCATGGATCCCTTTGCTCAATGCTATCCATGTGGTCAATGGATGCTCAGCTAGTCTTATTGCTCATATCTGCAACTAGCATATTTCCTGCACTCTTTGATTATTGATTATTTGTGAGGACTAGACAATACAAATGTAACCCATTTTGCACCCCAGTTTTAGTTACATAATTATAGTAGTTTAATCTATCAAAATTTAAGATTTTCAGTTGCCTTGGAGAAGCATGTCAGAAAGCTCTAAGCCAGGTTAGGCAATGCCGAAATGGTGCACTCTGATGAAAAATAGATGTATACTAGAATGCAGTGGATTGATTTTGTATAGGCTAAGGTGCTTGTGGACGAGCGCTTGTTCTTCTCTTTGCTTGAGCACCCAGCACTAGCGGCAGCGCTCGTCCAGAAGCTCCAAGGTTGTAGAGGAAAAACTGCATAGTGCTGGTTTTTCAAGTGGTGGGCCTTGCCTTTAGCTATTAGGGTTATTAGTCGGAACCCGTGTGATGCACATATTTTATTAAGAAAAATTGAGAAAGGAGCTTTATGGCATTTCCAATTAAACGGTGCTAATCTAAGTTCAATTCAAGCATTTTTTTTGGATTGTCTAGTTTATTCGATCACAATTCAAGTTGCGCTTTAGTGAGAGGCTAATTTCCTATGCTCTAGATAGGGGTGGATTTGACTCTAGCTGAGCTGAATACCTGGTTATTTGAGTTCAGTTTGTCAAAATAGTGTTAGGCTCGAGCTTGATTTGAGCTAGAGAGTTGAACTTGAATTTGGCTTGGCTCAAAAGCTCGCAAGTTTGAGCTCGGCTCAGCTCAAACTCGACTACAAGCCAAGCTTCCTATAAAAAATAAAAATTATACATATAAAAATTATTTTTATTTTACATATAAAAATTAAGAATTATAAGATTATTTATTATGATACATATAAAAATTATTTTTATTTTAAATACAAAAAAAAGAATTATAAAAATTATTATGCATGTATGGTGATCGAGCTTCAATGGGCTCAAGCTTGGCTTGATTAGCAAACGAGACTATATATTGGGCTGAATCGAGCTTGGCTTGAAGCTTGGTTTAAACTGAACTGAATCGAGCTTTTCACAAGTCAAGCTCGAATAACTCATGAAAAGCTTGATTCATTTCCACCCCTACATAAATCTGTATTAATTTTTGTATCTTAATATTTTTTAAAATTTTATGGTTTGTAATTATTTTTAGGTAAAAAAATTTCTACCAAAATATTTTTTGGTTTATAATTATTTCTAAATAAAGTTGGTTAAGGGTAAATTTGGTATTTAAAGAAAATTAATGCATTGCATCCACATTTTCTATTTTGAATGATAACGAAGGGAAATATCTACACATCTTTTCAAAACAATGTGGGAGGTTTTTGTTAAGGTCAAAGCATATGTTCATAGGATTGGTAGAAAACCCGATGAATTTTTTTAATAATTTCCCTATTCTTAAATAGAATTTAAATTGATTTTAAATTAATTAAATCATATTTAAGGTTAATAAAATTTTATTAATCTTTATTAAATTTAATTAATTATATTAAGTTTTTATTTTTAATAGAATTTAAGTTCATTAGTAAAAATTAATTGTAAAACTAATAATTATTAGATAATCTTGTATTAGTTTTATATTAATTTTAAATGGATATTTGTTTTTAATGAATCTTATTACATTTTATAAATCTATTTGTTTTTATTATATCAATATAAATATTTTTATTAATAACAATAATTAATAATTATTTTTATCTTATTTAAGTAATTTAATAAATTATTTTTATTGTGGTCAATTAATTTTTATCATTCCAAATGGAATATAAATGGATTATACTTTTTATGGTGTTTTATTCAATGTTTGCAACTCGTTGTTGACTGGTTAAACCATTGAACCATCACTCGGCTCCATTCCTAATTCAAGGTTTCCTAAAACCTACTATTTAAAAAAAAAAAAAAAACATTGATTTGGTCAAAACCCGTTCAACCTAGGCAGTTGAACCACTGACACTTTTGATCTAGTCATTGGGTCATGGGTTACAATTTACAATATATTAAAAACTTATGGAGGACTTAACTTTGTGCTCAATTGTCTGATTGGGGTGATCTTTTATTTTGGGTAACTTATCACAATCCTTGCAGCCCCATTGCACACACACACACAAAACTCATTTTGTGGTCTCAAATTTCAATTTCTGTCTTATTTATAAAAAAAATATTTAATACAAATTGAACCTAAAATAATATATACACACAAAATGTAATTATATTATGTCATATTATAATATAATTAGATAGCCTGACATTTTTCTATTAGAATTATTTACAAAATGGTAGTCATTATATTTAAAACTTTTCCATAGGTTTATTTGAGTAGAAAAAATTATAAATGTAATAATATTTTGAAGTATCGAAAAGAATATAAGATTATAAATACTATTTATATGCCTTCAAAATCCCCACAATCCCTCTTTATATTTTACTTATATTTTGACCCCACCCATGTTTGTTAAATCTGCCCCCCAATCTATGTTTTTGAAAATGTATAAAGAAATTATAATAAATTTAATCTGTTGTAAATACACGAGTATACCCTACCACCTTTCCTCCGCCTTTAACCTTTTAATTCACCATTTCCCCATTCATGGTGTCTTTATGCCATTTCTTCTGCACTTACTTCCTGACCAGTGGCCACTCCCACCAGGATCAAGGCCAAAGGCAACACTACCACTTCCACCGATTCTATGAAGGCAACTTCTACTACTAGGTTCTCATTGGAAATCACTTTCAGTAGCATTATCCTAGCCGACCAATTCTGGGTTGTTCTGGGTCTAATTTGGTGTTAATATCTGACTCGATTGAAATCGGATTTCATTCTTACAAATTGGTCTTGGTACCCACCTCACAGCTCACAGCCCTTGCAACCCATGCATTGGGAACATCTATCCATAAATAAAAATATAATGTGCTGTTGCAAAGGTTGTGAGGTGAGTGTGAGGGCCAATTCTGTGAAGAGGAAATTCGAACTTAGCTACTCTTCTTGTACCTTTCATGTATTTGGTTTCGATCCACCCCCTTCAAGGTCTCTACCAAGCTGCCCCCACCTAAGACCTTTTGGGCTTCTTGATCTTCTATCCTCTTTCATTTGTCTTTCTCCCTCAACTCTTCCATCTTCTCTAGACATGAAATCTAGTTGCAACCATTTCAATCAAATGTACTTCATTTGAAAATTGAAAAGATTTTTCTTTCTTGTTCAACTGCATGATCCATGGTTCAAAGTATCGATACATCTTTGTGTAGCGATAGAGGTAATATATACTTATATATTTTAACTTATATGTCATTTATTTTTTTCTTTAGTTTTTTCTTCTTCAAGTTTCAGTTTTATATATTAATTTAATAAAAAAAGCAGTTCATGAAAACACCTGTAAACAGGTGTATCGAGCGTATCGCGTCAATACTTTAACTTTCTGCATCTTCTTTTAAGATTTAGCAGCTATCGAGCCACTTGAATGGGCACTGCATCAGCTTCGTTATGTATCTCCTCTCTTGCCCCTTCTCAGCCACCGCTATGGTTGCTTTGCCTCTGTTATCATGACTATTTCTTGTGAGACTTGGACTGCGTCCTACACAAAAGCTCTTCCCTTCTATGTTTTGGAGCACCTCCCCCAAGCTATCTTGACTTACAAGGACCTCTGGATTCATTCTTGTTCCACAATCATTGTTGCATCGATCTCTTTCAGTCTTGGCTTTTGACTCGAGTAAGATCTCCAATTAAACCACCAACTCGTCCCAATCTACTTCTTTACTATTAGTGGGTGGGGAACCACACCATCTGATCTTAATGAGGATCCACTACATAGCTCCCCAATAGCTCCTTTGGATTAGGCTAAAAAACCCAATCTGGTGGATAGGTTCAAAAGTTGATTGAGCAAATGGAAAGCCAGCTCCCTATCCTATGCTGGAAAACAATCAATCACTCGTACAATTTGTTCTCTAGTCCACCCCCATATATTGCACGAGTGTTTCAAAAGTTTCCCAGAAAACAATCAATGGATTAGGAAAGTTGTAAAGGCAGTTTTGGTGGAATGAAAAAACCGACAAGCACCTAAAATGGACATCCTAGAATAAACTGTATGCCCCGAAGGACAAAGGAGAAACTTGTGTATCCTTACTCCAGCTTTAAGTTCCATCTTCTACTGGCCCAACTTTGGATTGCTTCTAAGGACTTTTCTGTGCCAACTCGCCCAACCAGTCATGCCTCCAGAGTTCAGACCCAATTCATCAACTTCCAGAAAGAAGCCAATTTTTGCTGCGTTGAGGCTTGATCGACCATCTATGGTCCATTCCTTCAACCACTTTTACATAAGTTGGTTTCAGCTTTCAGCCCTGTGCCTAACCTTTTCTCCCCCTTAACCCCTGTGTGAATGTGTCCCTCCTTTCTTTGCCAACATCTCTATTCTCTCCTCTGTGTGCCTCCCCTCCCTTCCGGTGCCTTATGGGTTGTCTCTTGCCCCTACTCTCATCTGTCATGTTCACCCAATGATTTCCTCCATCTTCAGCCATTGTTCCTTACAATCTTCGCCCCTACGCTCACCTGTCATGTTCACCCAATGTTTTCCCCTATCTTCATCCATTGTTCCTTACGATCTTCACCCCTAAATGACTTCACCCATCTTTAGCCATTCTTCCTTCAATACTCATTGTCATTGTTTGAAGGCACTCATCATCGACACACATCGTTAGTAGATCCTCAATGACTAGGAATAGCCCGTCCTTATAACACCCTCCTGCTCATAATGTCCTTAAGATAAATATACCGGATTCGGATGAGGTAGGCATGAAATTGTAAGCACGTCCAATGAACATTTTTAAATTTTTTTTTACATCTGTCCCTTAACATACCCTCACCTCACCCTTGAAAAAAATTAATACCCACTTTTAATAGTTGTCAAAATATTTATCAAGTGCTCATTTGACGTGCATACATTGATGTGCCTATTAGATCCAGTCCTATACATGCCACCCATGGTACATGCTAGGTGTGTCACTGTCCCAATACTTCATACCTTACACAAACTAATAAACCTACATCTAGTGTTATTGATGTATTTTGTGGGATTTCTTTTTTGAGTTTTTACTTGCATTGCATATCCTAATTTTTCTAATTTATCCATGCATATCCAAAGCATGTCTCAATGTCTTTTGAAATTGCCTTTTTAATCTGTGTATAGAACCTTGCATCCATGGATGAACCCAACAGATAAATGAATGCTAAAAATTAGCAATAATCAAATAATACAAACTACAATATTTCCCGTTTAAAATGTTCGTAGAAACATGTTAAAGATCAAATGGTTGAGAATGATTTTTTTTTATTTTTATTTTTTGGTGTAGCCGTGTAGGCCTGTAGGGGATCTTTTAGGCATGATCCATCCGTTACATTGGAGTGAAACAAACTATTAATCGTTAAAAGGTAAGCCAAAATCAACTTATTTCAGGTTGCCTTTTTCCAAAACATTAAAGACATTGCCTGTAACTTTGTGATAATGATGATAAAGGTGGTGAATTTACCAAGCTTGTTTTTTGACAGGGAAATGCTAAGCCGGTGCCTAGGACCATGTAACCTGGATTTTAGAATAAGCCCGAGTATAGGGATGAAAAGAGAAATTATCGGCATCATATAGCAAGTCAGATTGTTATATAGGGACATCTTTTGTCTTCAAATTAGATGTAGCTTGTTTATAAGGAGTGCGCCAAAGAGGGCTTTTTGTGCCAGCTCTAATTATTTATTTCAACAAATATAACTAGCATAAAAGAGAAGAAAGAATTGGTTTTGGTTCCTTGATCTCAACAAAAAACAAGTGCAAAGAGAACAAAGAAAAAAAAGGCTACAACTACAAGACTACAAAACAATAGTTACCCTGGAAACCGCAGCAACACTAGGATTGTCATAAGCCTTTCTAACATGGTCCTGTATTTCTCCTGAAAGGCAAAGCTCTAGTGTCTACTAGATGCAAAAACAAGGGGACAGCAGTACCTGCCTACCCATTCAAGCCATAACATTTGGTCCTTGACTGCTTGGTTTGCTTTTACGGTTCCATACTGGAGTTGTTTCAATCAGTTTATGTGGGACAAGCCGCCTTTCACGCTTGGTAAGCTTTCGGAAATTACTGACTCTCAGTCTGGCAATCTCAGCCTCCTCTTCTGGGGTCATCTCCCTCACTACAATTGTCAGCCTACATTCTGGTCGCACCTTTATCCCACATTTCCCTTTGGCATGATAAGAAAGTCTCTTTTTGTAGAATCCTTTCCCAACAAATGCTTCCGCTGCACAGAAAGATGAAAATAAATATTACTCTAAATAAATATGTTTCACTGAAATGCAATGGGAGCACAATTGGATTAGTTAGTTACCAACAAGAAGACGATCTGGATCCAATCCATGGTTATGTGTTGCATTTGCACGAGCTGAGTGTATAACCTGCACGGTATACATGTCTTATTATATGATAAACAAGTGAAGAGAAAGAGGCAAAATATGCAATGCATGGATTATTTATTTTGACAATTGTTTATGCCACAAAATATCAGATGGACATATGCACAAAGCCACAAACATGGAATGTGAAATTGAAATGCATGGAAAGATCATGAACCTAAAAATTATACTAAATGGACTTTGCCTAGGTACAAGCCAGATCATGAACCTAAAAATTATTATATGTCAATCCCACCTGATAGACAGTCTTTGCAGCACGCTTCACTGTCACTTGCAATTGCAATAGTGCATCTTCAACTCGCATTCCACGAACTAAAGCAGCCACCAAATTCACCTTCTTGGGACTCTGAAAATGCACTATAATAATTTATCAAAGAGACATGAATATATATACACACACACACAGACACTTGGATAAAATAATAAAAGGTTTCTACCAAAATAATTGATCCTCCTCAGATGTTATAACAATCTGATATATTCTATAGATTTAAGTGATTAAATTTTGGCAAACGTGTCAAAAAGAAATCTATAGTTGAATAATTGGAACCATGAATACCAGATGCTATCTATAAGAAATCACCAAGCATTTTCAGCCACCCTATGCTGAGCTGGACAAAAAAAGTATAAACAGATGAAAATCAATCTCAAAGGACCACACCAATTTGTGGTATTACATTATAAAACAAGAAAATGACTTGATAACTAAAGCTTGGGAACTTAATGGCCACGGAAATGCAAACAATAACCTAGATTGTGCTTTGGCATATAAATGTAGATTGGATGGAGCCCAAATTAAGGAATTGTCTGACAGGTGGGTGGGAAAGCAATCTTTGGAGAACAGAAGTGTGTTCTTTCTCCCCTTGCTGCAGAGGAAATAAATAGGTAACAGTGTTATCCATCATCAGCAAGCTGTATGGGACCTTGGCAGATTTTCTCAAACTCTTAAGCCACACCCTGGTCCAGCACACAGGTTGCTGTAGGAACAAGATATGCTTTTCTGTGAAAAAGTATAGGTAATCAAAGTGAAAATTGGAAGCAGTTAAGTTGGTTAGACCAAATAAAGAACCTTTATATGGGTTTTGGCCCAGAAAAAGTAACTACTAAAAATGTTGCTCATAAACATGAGATTTTAAGGTTGACTCTAATGTTGTGTCATAAGAAATGGTGGTCATAATCATCTCTTTCTCAGTTTGTTTAATATATAAAAAGGATAGGAATATGTTCAAAAGGATATTCTGATTCTATCAGTGCTATGCAGAGTTAAAGACATCCTATTCTTTTGTTCTTTCAATCAATTGAGGTTGTGGCAAGCTTTTGCTGTGCAGAATCTGTGTCAGGTCTGGTTGGAAAGAAGCAATTGAAGGCTTTGTAACAAGTAACCCGTGCTAACAAAACTGTTTGCAAAGAATGGCATCAAGCAAAAGTATATGTCACAGCAAATAAACTTACAAATTTCAAGAATTTAACTCAAATGGGAGGTTGTTGTTGGAATGGGAACTTCCTCAAATTGGCTGCTAACTGCTTTAAACTTTTATACTGATGGGCTATATAATTCTGCTACAAGGAAGAAAGGCATCCCTATTTGGCTAAAGTGATTGGAAGTACAATCGTTAACCATCACTATTGAAGAATTGTGGAGATCATGTAGGTCTTTGGTTAGCATGAGATAAGGGCATTAACAACCAAGTTCCTTCTTTCTTTTTCTGTTTTAATCTGTAACAAGAAATGCATTCATTCAACTTGGTAAAAAAGCCATACAATGTATGAGGAATTGCATGGATAAACTGATAAAGCACAAACAACTTAGAGCTGAACATTGTGCTGTAGATGAATATGATTTTGTTATATATCTCTCCCAGGACCTAGCAACCCCAGTTTTATCTTTAAAATGTTGGGTGATCCCCTCGCCCTGCTAGCAAATCAGAGAGCAAAGCCTATTGCATGATTCACATCGCATGTCACGATTTTTTGAAACCTCTCTTGTGGAATACCACACCACCCCATCTCTCAAAGGGGGAAGCATTGGGCCTAAGGCACCACTTTTACATGTTCTGCCAATTTTTTTTTGAAACTAAGGCGCTGTTTGGATAGACTTTGTACTTTTAAAAGTACCAAAGAATAAAATACATATTATACTTTCTACTTTTAGAATTGTGGAGATCATGAAGGTCTTTGGTTAGCATGAGATAAGGGCATTAACAACCAAGTTCCTTCTTTCTTTTTCTTTTTTTAATCTGTAACAAGAAATGCCTTCATTCAACTTGGTAAAAAGCCATACAATGTATGAGGAATTGCATGGATAAACTGATAAAGCACAAACACTTAGAGCTGATCCCCTCACCCTGCTACCAAATCAGAGAGCAAAGCCTATTGCATGATTCACATCGCATGTCACGATTTTTTGAAACCTCTCTTGTGGAATACCACACCACCCCATCTCTCAAAGGGGGAAGCATTGGGCCTAAGGCACCACTTTTACATGTTCTGCCAATTTTTTTTTGAAACCAGGGCGCTGTTTGGATAGACTTTGTACTTTTAAAAGTACCAAAGCATAAAATACATATTATACTTTCTACTTTTAGAAGTGCCAAAGTATAGAGTACATACTTTTACTTTAAAATGTTTTTGGATAAAAAAATGTTCAAAAGTACACTTTTCAAAATAAAAGCACCAGTACCTGTTTGGAAAAAAGTATAATGGTAAACACATGTAAACTAGTGATACATGACAGTCACATAACAGTGACACGTCAAACTTGTTTTGTTATGTGACATGTGGTAGCCACATAACAATGACACATGTCAGTGACATGTGACGGTCACATAATGGTGACACTGCCCATGGAACATACATGGCTGCCATGTGGCAGTCAAACGTATAATAGTAACATGTGGCAATTACATAACAGTGAAACATGTATAATGGTCACACATGGCAGTCACATAATGGTGACACTTGACTTGTATGGCCTGGAACAAATATAGTTGCCATGTGGTAGTCATATGTATAATAGTGACACACGGCAGTCAAATAACAATGACGCTTGTATGGCCTGAAACACACATGACTACCTTGTGGCTGTCACATGTACAATAGTGACACGTGACAGTCAAATTATAGTCACACATGACCATCGCTTCACACAAGACCAAAAGTGTTTTTGGGTCAATAGCAATGACACATGTCAGTGACATGTGACGGTCACATAACAGTGACACTTGTATCACGGCCAATGGAACACACATGGCTGCCATGTAGCAGTCAAACGTATAAATAGTAACATGTGGCAATCACATAACAGTGAAACATGTTAATGACACATGACTTGTATGGCCTGGAACACATAGTTGCCATGTGGTAGTCATATGTATAATAGTGATACATGGCAGTCACATAACAGTGACACTTGTATGGCCTGAAACACACATGACTACCTTGTGGCTGTCACATGTACGATAGTGACACATGACGGTCAAATTATAGTCACACATGACCATTGCTTCACACAAGACCAAAAGTGTATTTAGGCCAATAGCACAAAGTATCAAAAGCCAACTTTGTGCTTTTGGTGTTTTTGGTATACAGTATAAAAACACTAGAACCAAACAGCATGTCAGGATTTTTGTACTTCCATACTTTTAAAATCATGTCTATCCAAACAATACCTAAATGACTAGCCATCCATGGCATGTGGATGCCCTTGTAGTATTGTAATACATTATGTCCGTTTTTGGCAAAGTTGGTTATCAATATAGAGAAGCAAGCAATGTTGCATATTGCAAGGCCAAGTAAGCCACTAGTAACCATACTTTTGAAGCGTAGATTGAGATCCTAGTATGGATATCTAATATATATGATTTGTGAGGATATTGTATGCAGTGTAAGTAAAAGGACGATAACTGTGAATATTGCAAGGCCAAGTCAGCCACTAGTAACCATACTTTTGAAGCTTAGATTGAGATCCTAGTATGGATATCCAATATATATGATTTGTGAGGATATTGTATGCAGTGTAAGTAAAAGGACGATAACTGTGAATAATTAGCTTTATTAATTTTATCTTCTTTACAAGAAGAAAAGAAACATCCCATAATCCCATTGTACCCTATCATGTGCTGCCATCAGCAAAAAATGGTAATAGTTCTGTTCATGGAACACTAGAAACTTTTAATTGGAACATTACCACATACCTGCTTAATTTTTTTTTTCTTTTTTTTGATTGGAAACAGTAATTTTAATTAAATAAAGGAATTCAAAGCACAACTGTCAACCACCTTAGGGAAGGGTGTTGATCCCAAAAACATTTTGTTCTTACAGCACTGCCCAAAACAAATTATCCCTAACAGTCCCTTGTTTTTCTAAGGTATCAGCTAGCCCATTAGCTGATCTTCTAGTCCACTTAAAGCATACTCCAATCTCCCTTTCTATACAATAGATTTCTCTCACCATCTGTCCAAGTGTCCAGACCCCCAAGCTATCTGATTGCATCCACCCGATTAGCAACTTAGAGTCCCCTTCTATCTCAATTTGGTATAGACTGAACTGATTAGAAAATCTTACACATTGAAGCAAAGCCATCACCTCTGCTCTCAAAGAATTACCCACTTCTATTGGTCCCTTTGGCAAGGTTTGAGCGTAGACTGACAGTCGCTCAGAGGAGGTAATGTATCTGCTAGTAGTTTGCAGGGTTAATAGCGCTTGTCTCGCAAAGGTCAAGGTTGTGACATTCAGTGTGTCCTCCTAAAGAAGAAAATGTCGAGAAACAAGCTAAGGGAGGAAAGAATAAGGTTTCAGAGGCCAAGTCTAGGGAAGGCAGTAGTGACCCTCCAACGCAGAACAAGAGAGCTCCAAAGAGAAAGGCCCCTAATGCACAAAGCAATCCCCCAACAAAGAAGGCACCGAGGAAGAAAGCTGAAAGCATTTGCAACAGACACTACCGGCATGCATATATGCAATGAGGCCCCAACCACGGTAACTACAGCTGCGACTAAGAGTGTTGTTTGTGCAGAGATTGGCACTAGGGAGGCCCGAGAAGCTGTTAATACTTCCTCATGTAGCTAAGAGGCCTGAGCATTTGCAAAGATATGCTAGTCATGTAGCTAAGGGGCAAAGAGTAGAGGTTATCTCCTCTGATAGTGATGAGGAGGGATGGCGAGGTTAGCCCCCTAGTGACACAAGCTGCGGTAGTAGAAACCAACCCTTGCAGGGTCTCTGCAGTTATTGTGCCAAGGCGGGATTGCATTGTGATGAGTTTTGGCCTATGCTGCGATGTGGACACACTATGGAGATGTGTTTTCATAACTTCCATCGCAATCCCCATGATGCCTAAATCTATGTACTTGC